ATGCGGGACTCGATCCTGGGACTCGATCCTGGGACTCCAGGATCATGACCTGAGCCGAAGGCAGTTGCTTAACCAACTGAGCCACCCAGGCGCCCGAAAGCCAAATTTAGAACCCAGTTACAATTAACTATCTAATCCCAGGTACCTGACCCAATTCTCTCCCTTCTTTAAATACTTTATTGTCTTAAAAAACAAACAAACAAAACCTTTAACATTTTAAGTTATCTTAAAACCTTGTTGGGGTTGATTTTGCTTGTTCTAGGTGTCTCTCCCTGCAGGCAATGCACTTCTCCGCTTTGCTTGTATAAATCCCAGCCATCTTCTAATGTTTGTGCAATTGGGGGATCATTCAATTTTCCTCCCATCCTAGATGGATGTCATCTCTCTCCCTCTGTGCACCCAGTCTTCCATCTCCTCTGGACACGTCTACCTTGAATCCCAGCGGCTTGAGTCCTGCTGTACCCCACCTCCTACAGAGCTCTCGGGGGGACAAGAGTTGGCATCAACTCCTAAAGCCCAGAAAGTGGGAAGCACTGAACAATTTCTTATCCATTCTTGGTTTAATTCCTTAAGAGCAGGAACACAACTCTCCTTAAGCCCAACAGCCCCCAGAAAACAGTTTATTGATTTTTAATCTATCTCCCGCCAGAGCCCAGCGCTACCTTGGACAAACCGTGCACCCACCGCGGATGGCAGCAGAATTGGATTTAGCAGGCTCGGGCCCATTCTCTTCAGAGACTTGAACCTGGTAGGCTGTGGGGCTCATAACACTCGCCGCCTGAGGTCTGCCTTTCTGAACCGTAGGTCAAGTTACAATAACTGGCCAGGGCGGCGGTAAGGCAGCTGTACCTCGGAAATCCCATCCAACCCTCGCGACCGTCCTGGGCAAAGGCATTTCACCAGTTCTGGCAGACCCGAGTCCGCTGTGGGGGTGAGGGCCGAGACGGGGGCCCCTGTCCCGTGGGTGACAGGGCAAGGCCTCGAACCCGGGTCACCGTCCCCAGTGCAGCAGACGTTCGGTGCGGAGAGAGCGAGGGTGGAGAGGGCTCCTCGCTCGTGCCGTCTCAGAGCCCCCTCCCGCCTGCCGGGACGTCCGGACCCTGGGTCACCGGACTTGGGCCAGGTCTGGGGGTCGCGGGCACCCCCGCCCCCTGCCTCGCGCCATCTTGGAGCGCTGAGGCGGCCGCCCTGGACCGCCCCGAACCGCTGCTCTAGCAGTTACTCACCCGCACTGCCAGGGGCCAGGCCCCCTGCCACCTCCGCGACCCCCGCCACGGCCAGAAGAAGCAGCAGCGCGCCTCGCGGGGAGGCCGGGACCGCCGCCATGTCCGGGCGGGGGGTCCGGAGCCGCGGGATGCTCGGACCCAGCCTGGCAGCCGCCGCTGCTCGCGGAAGCCCCGCCCCGGCGGCCTGGACCTTTATTGATTGGCTGCGGCGCTCTCAAGCCCCGCCCCTCGGCCTCTGGGTGTTTCCAAAACCTGCTGGGGGCGGGAACATTCCTGAGACCCCGGCTCTTTGTTAAGGCCCAGCTGTGCGTGGGCTTCTGCTGAGGAGTCCCGCAGACAAGGTTCCCCAAGTGCGGGGTCAGAAGGTGTCAGAGCTGGAAGGGCCCTTTCAACACCTTTACCGCCTCCTGAGCTTTGCAGCTGGGTTCACTGAAGCTCAGAGAGGAGACTGACCTGCCAAGATCACACTCTTAAGTTCGCCTGAGAACTAGGGCATAGTCCAAGGCTGAACCAAAGGGACCTCTTCCTTTCACTTCTCTTTACCCTCAATGAGCCTCTTAATATCCTTTCTGCCCAGACGCTGCCTCATACGCAAAGAAAGCACTCGGGTCAACTTGACCTCCCCTAAAATCTGAGGGGCACTGCCGAAGACACGGTCTCCTAACAGGACCCAGGGACAATTTCACCACCAAAACTCTTTGGCACATGTAGCCTGTATGTGTCTTTGATGTACTGTTATGGTGATTAACATAACATAATAAAATAAAATTTTAAAAAAAAGTACTTATTCCTATTAGGAAAAGGCGAGTGTTGGAATGGTTGTGTATCTAGATATGGAGAGCCTTGAATGTCAGGTTTAGATTTTAAGAAGTAATTTGGAGGTAGGTCCCCACTCCACCCTTTACCCCTACAGCTATTGTGGGGAATGTTTGAGAGGGCCCACTGGCTATCAAAGTGCCTCTCTCCCTCTCTCCGTTCCTGAATTAATACCTTAAAAAAAAAAAAAGATTTTATTTATTTGAGAGAGAGAGAGCATGGGGGGGCAGAGGGATAAGCAGACTCCCCGCTGAGCAGGGGTTCTGAGGACCCTGAGATCATGACCTGAGCAGAAGGCAGACACTTAACCACTGAGTCCCCAGGGGGCCCCCTCTCCCCTCCCTTTTAAAAAAAGTATAACCACAGCTACAAATTTAAAATTCCTTAATATTATTAAATATCCAGTGTTACATTTCCCCTATTATCTCATAATTTCCTTTTACAGTTTTTCAAGTTCCAAAGTCCATATATTGTAATTTATATGTGTTTTAGGTCCCTTTGTATCTATTCTCTCTCTTTTAAGTTTACAAAGGGAAAATATAGATAAATTATAATCTTCCTGAAACATCTGCTCTGATGACAACTCTCTTGCTTCAAAGTCTGAGAGGCCACCTGTCTTCTTACAGGATACAGTGATATACAATTATTTAACGTGGAGCCAGAGGTTCTTAGCCATTAGACCCAATCACCTTTTCCAGCTTCATCTCCACACCCTCCCTGCACCTCTGCCACCATTCTTTCAGAACCTCTTACCTTTAGTTCTGGACCTCTGAGGTGCTTTCACCCCTCTGTCACAATATGTATCTCTTCTGCACAGAATTCCCCAATTCCTGTGGTAACCCACTCAGCTGAGAGGACTAAGATGGTTGCTCTGGGTTCAACTGTGCCCTGGAAGGACCTGAACAGGAAGTGGGCTCTTTGTAAGGTGACCAACACATCTTGCTTTGCTTGGAACTGTCCTGATTTTAAAACTGAAAGTCTCATGTCTCAGACACTTCCTTAGTCCCAGGCAAAACAGGATTGTTGGACTCCTTAGCTCTGTGCACCTTAGAAAATATCATAGAGAGGCCTGTAAGGAGGTTTCCATATGGAAAAATGGGGTCATACAGGTAATAGATACCGTTCCCAAGATAATTCAATGGGTAGACCGATTGTTATAAACCATGCAGATGGGTCATTAGACCATTGGGTCCCTGTACTAGATTCCTAGGCTGCCATAACAGAGTACTACAAACTGGGTGTCTTAAGCAACAGAAATTTATTGTCTTAGAGTTCTTGAAGCTAGAAGTCTGAGATCAAAGTGTTGGCAGTGTTGGTTCCTTTTGGGAGCTGTGAGGGAGAATCTGACTCATACCTCTCTCCTAGTTTCTGCTGTGTTACTGGCAGTCGTTGGCACTCCTGGGCTAGTAGACACATCACCTTGATCTCTGCCTTCCTTTTCACATGGAATTCTCCTTGTGTGTGTGTCTGTGTCCAAATTTATCCTTCTTATAAGGACACTAGTCATACTGATTTAGGGGCCCACCCTATTCCAGTATGACCTCATCTTAACTAATAACATCTACAATAACCCCTATTTCTAAATAGGGTCACATTCTGAGGTACTGGGGGTTAGGACTTCAACTTATGAATTTGGGGGGGAGGCAGGGACACGCAGTTCAACCCATAACGATTCCTAAAGGAAAGACTATCCACCTGCCCCATCAGAAATCATGGACTCTGAAGAAGCAGCTGAAGGAGGAAAAGGATAAAGGACTGCTCAGTTGCGGTTCAAAGATCCTAAGTCCCCAATAACATGAGTGGTTGGCTGCACGGCTGTTGACTTTAGAGGTGATACCTGGAGTCTCATGCACAAAGAGAATGCCTGAATACTTGGAGATCTCTTAGCTATAGAATCAGAAATGACTTTATTTCCAGGTAATTCTTACGAGATATGGCAGTAAAGTTGCTCTGGACAAGTAAATCAATATAGTTATACCAGTGAGGTTGAGGGGAACTGGTAGTAGAGATAATTTCTCTACTACCAAGATTTATATTTGAGACGGACATGTTAGATGAATGGCTGAAATCTGAGTTGTGATGATGAACCACCAAATGGAAGCTACTTGAGATCCTTCCACACCAAAGAATGGCTGACCAGACACTATATCCTGGGGGAAGTCAAGAAATAGGGACATTGAGGCCCTTCTTGGCCAAGCATTTTCTGGCCAACTCTCTGGTACATTAACCCTCCTGTGGGGGTACCCTATGAAGCATATAGGATTTGGACACTCTATTGGTGATTGCCCACTGGGGGCAAGTGATCTGACACTGGTCTCGGGCATGTTCAGTGCGCTTGAAGAAACAGCACATCCACTTTGGGATTACCTTACTGTATTTTGATGAAGCTAATAGCTTATTTCCTGTTTCCCTTTGATCAGACCACCAGAAGCAGTTAGGTTTCCCATGAGACAGAAAGCAGCAATGTAATGTAGTGTAAAGAGCATGGGCTTAAGATACACCGGAGTCCAAATTGCACTAACTAGCTGTTAATTACATTAGTAGTTCATTGTGTTAACTAACTGTCTGACCTTGGGCAAAGTCGTTTAACTTCTCTGAGTCTCAGTTTTTTCCTTTACATAAAGTTTATCTTGGACTTCTTACGAAGATGAAGGAAGATATTATATTTAAAATGTCTAACACAGTGCTTGACAGACAGTGAATGATGTTAAACACTCTAGAACTGTAATGAGAGATATGGACAACCTTCAACCTGGGTCACAGAACTCACTGGCTAGATTTACTTCCCACCTTACTTCCCATCTCCTCCCCAGGAGAGAAGAGTCAAGTCTCGAGTTGTACTAACATGGTAGCCACTAGCCGCATGTGGCTCTTGAGTACTAGAGAGATAGCAAGTTGAAATGTGCTGACACCAGATTTTAAAGACTTAGTATGAAAATAAGAACATAAAATATTATTAAAATTATTAAAATTAATTCCACCCGTCTCTCTTTTTTTTTTTAATTTTAATTATTTATTTGACAGAGACACAACGAGAGAGGGAACACAAGCAGGGGGAGTGGGAGAGGGAGAAGCAGGCTTCCCACCGAGCAGGGAGCCCGACGCGGGGCTCGATCCCAGGACCCCGGGATCATGACCTGAGCCGAAGGCAGGTGCTTAACGACTGAGCCACCCAGGTGCTCTCCACCTGTTTCTTTATACCTGTTTTGGGTTTTTTGTGCTGTTGTTGGGTTTTTGTTTTGTTTTAAACAGACTTTTTCTTTTTTTCTTTTCTTTCTTTTTTTTTTGAGCAGTTTTCAGTTCGCAGCAAAATTGAGCAGCAAGTATAGAGATTTCCCATATATCCCCCACACCAACATAGGCACAGACTCTTCTGCTATCAACATCCTGCTCTGAGTGGCACATTTGTTACAATCAATGAACCTACACTGACTCATTATTGTCACCCCAAGTCCAGAGTCTACATGAGGGGTGATTCTTGGTGTTATACATTCTATGGGTTTTGACAAATTTATGAATATCCACCACTATTCTTTTTACTCTTTTTCACGTGGCTGTTAGAAAACTTAAAATTACACATGTGGTTCACTTGGGACTTACATAGTTCTATTCCATGGTGCTGTTGTAATTATCTTTCATTCTAAAGAAAGGTTAACACTTAGAGATCTGCATGGCACTTTTAAAATGTTACCAATAGGGCGCCTGGGTGGCTCAGTCGGTTAAGCATCTGCCTTTGGCTCAGGTCATGATCCCGGGGTCCTGGGACTGAGCCTGGCATTGGGCCCCCCGCTGATCTCCCTCTGCCTGCCGCTCGCTCCCCTTTCTTGTGTTCTCTCTCTCTCTCTCTCTGTGTTAAATAAATAAAATCTTCTAACAAATGTTACCAATAATTTTGTCCTGAGCTCAAAACATCTTTCTATATTTTAGATAAATAAAACCCATAAAATCTTTTGATTCCTGTTTGTGTGGTATAATTTCACCATCATTTCATGTTTAATTCATCTGTTTCTTTATATTTAAAGTAGGTTTCTTGTAGAAATCATATGGTCGGTTGCTTTTTTTCTTTTTAATTTTATCTGACAATACCTGTCTTTTAATTGGAGGAGTCAGGTAATTTATTTTATTTTTAAAAATTTTTAAATTTAAATTCAATTTAGTTAACATATAGTGTATTATTCGTTTCAGGGGTAGAGTTTAGTAATTCATCAGTTGCATGTAACACCCAGTGCTCACTACAAGTGTCCTCTTTAATGTCCATCACCCCATCCCCCTACAGCCCTCCCCTCCAGCAACCCTC